AATAATTTTTATTTTTCTTAAATAAAACGTTGAGCGGTCATTGGTCAATGTACCTTCGGAACTTTGCCGGAGGGACTTGTTTCTTGAAAAGTCCTGTTTATACTAAATGCTAAAGTGAAAGCATCCAGAAATGAATGTGTAAATTTATTAGGAGGTTATATTTCCAACACCGTCTGCCACAATTAAAAGTGCATTGGCGATATGAAGAAACCGGTGAAGCGAGCAATATCGGTTCCATAAAATGCGACATTCGTGTAAGTCTGCGCTTTAGCAACAGCATTTCTGCTGAGCAGCATCGAGCACTTGCTGCCATATGAAACAACACCAAGAAGCACCCAACGACCATCGTCCAGTTGTGTCATTAGGCCACCACCACTGTCACCCTGAAATATTTGGTCCTGAAGATCACCAGGGAAATAAAACACTGCTTCAGTTAAACATCGGAATGAGTTAAAGCGCCACGACCCTAGCAACGCTGTTTGTGGCGGAGTTAGCGGCAGATACGAGGCATTACTTAAGGGAGTTGCTGCAAGGAGTGATTGCTATAGAATTCTCCCAAAAGTACATGCCCATTGAAAAACAAAAACTTATTGTGAGTGAAATTTATTTGAAAACCAACCCTGCAAACATTCTGGGTATTAATTTCAGCGGTGCAAATAACATCGTTTGGTATTTTTCCCCAGTGATATTCACATAACCACCGATCCATTAATCCGTCTAACACAAGCTTTTGCAAATTATTCTTAAAATGCGCGTTTGAAGCTGCTAAAAAGCAATAGGTTTTTTAGCTGATCGTAGATGATATTAGACTGTTTGCAAACGAGGTTCAAATTTTCTATAAAGACAGAGAGCAATGCTTTGACAGTGGTCGACAAGTGCCCGAAATTCAACGCTTTAGAAATGCATCAAATAGGGGAATGTGCTTATGCATTTTGGTGACTAGCTGCCAGTACATGGAAGTTGGGTGTCAACACAAAACATTTTCATTTTCCAAGCCCGTCGGCTTAAAAATTGGAAAATAATTAGCCAGAAATGAGATTTAAGGTCTCAAATAGAACAGAATGATCACAGAATAGAAAAGATTGTATCAAAAAATTTAGCGGTGCTTTGACTATTCACTGGCGAAGAGCACCGGCAGGCCCCTACGATCGTGCGTTACTGCAGTATTTCGTGCTGTTGTTGGATCGGTTGGCGCCCCAGTAGCAAGAACTTATGACATACTGTTTCCCGAAGTTCAGGAAATTGGTTGTGCAACTATGTGGTACTTGGTCAGGAAACACTCACTGG